GTGCATATCCGACCATTTAGGTAGATGCAAGCCCTCCTCTGGGCACTATCAAATATGGATAGTATTTCCAGCTCCTGTCTCATCTGCTTCTTTGCTTGGGTGTCACTCTTTCTAATTTTCCATAACATGGTGAGAATGTCATCGATTGGTTTTGCTCTCTCGTATCAATACGCTGTCAAAAGTACATTTTTTCATGGAATATGCTCTACCACATAAATGATTCAAAACATTCACTATATGATAAAATGTAAACCGTTAACCAGCCTCTTCTATTCCAGTTCCCTTTATTGCTTACTGCTGCAGTTGTAATGCAATCAATACTTACGGTTGTGACAACAGGGATCACAGATATAAATATGTCCATTTGTTCATTGGCAGGTTTAAAATACTTATACGGCTTTCCGTTGAAAATAACTAAGAGAACAAAATAACCAATAGTTTCGCTCAGAGTCAGATAAAGAATTTGAGAAGCGTCTCACTGGACTTATTTCTTTGGTGCGATCATTTTGAATCAAATATGATTTAAACCTTGGTCGTTCATACTGCATTAGTCTTGAGATGGTTTGAGCTTTGAGCGCCAATATTTATTATACGAAATTATGGAAAGTATAGCTATGCCAGAAAAAAACATCACTGTAAATGTATCTTCGATATCACTACTTTCATGTTATCAACTAGAATATCAATATTACCTATTTATAAAGACTGAAAAATAATCGCCAAAAATTTCGGAAATGAGGTAAGAGTATAGTTTTTTTAGGAGAAAAAATTGGCGGTGATGCGTTTCAGGGTGCAGAATAGGTCCATTATCATTTTTTTGCGTGAATATATTTATACACTTGTAACCCCGGTAATTCTACGCACCTACTAGGTATGCACTACAAGAGTTCCCAGTGTGTTCGCCCTTATCGGCGTGCAAGGCGTTGTGCTGGTGATTTGTGCGACTGTGTGTTTCGGTGGTATCGGGTTTACTCATCGCCATTCAGATGGTAACGTTGCCGTTACTTGTCAAATGGGCGGAGACTGGAGACAAATTGTAATGGCCTATTTGATTAACCTGATTTATTTTATTTATTTGTTATACATGTTCTCAGTTAACTTGTTTCTGAAAGGGGGTAACTTGTGCCGAAAATATTCCTTATTAACTTATGATAGCGTTGCCTGGGAACTGCACATTCAACCTACTTGATTCCATTTTTTTGCTATGATACCACCTTTTGTAAGCCGATGGTTCTGAGAATAATTATTGCGTGTTCAGCTGTTCTCTTTTAACGAGAAAGAGTATATCGAGAAAATACAATCGGCTTGGCATGAGCGTGTTTTACAATGATAAATGAACAGGGCACAAGCATGCTGGTATGATTTGCACTAAAAGACTTAACGTGCCCGCACAATAAAATCTACTCGTTGGAGCACAGAACCAATGGAGCATTTCCAAGCAGATAGTGTAAGGGTAACGAAAAACAAAGCGACATTTGAGTGTGTCGTTAATTTCAAATAGACAGGTCAATCTGCCACATGCAATTATAAAAACTACTTTATCATAAGCGCTGTCACGTTGTTAAAGTCTAGTTCACCTAAAAATAGCATCTTTGATGATACTTACAAGAAAAAATATAAGAAGAGTCTTCACAGATTTTTAAGATTCACAAATCCCCTTTGAATTAAGCAAATTAGATTGTCTCGCCTGCTTATTCGTCAGGCGTCATTCCAGCTCATTTAGAAACTTGTTTATTTTTCATTAAAGGTGACAACTGACTGAAACTTGCTAGTGTTGTAACTGTAAAAAAGCAAATATACTAAGTGACATATAAATCCGAACACCCAGTTTAAATGGTTTTATTTTAATAAAATTTTGTATAAGTACTTAATGAAGCATAATAAGTAAATGATAAAAATTTCAAAATGGTTGCACTGCTTTAAAGCCCTTTGACCTTTAATAATGTGTGGATGCACCCTGATGTGCTACGCATTCTCCAACGCCTAGGCATGCTTCTGATCAGGTGGTCAATGTCCTCCTGTGGTATCTCATTCCAGGCAACCACCAACTCCTCTCGAAGTGCTTCTAGAGTCTGAGGAGGACGTTGCAAATTGAGCAATCTCCTACCCATCATATCCCACACGTGCTCAATTGGGGATAAGTCGGGAGATCTTGGTGGCCATGGTAACAATGTGACATCATTGTGTTGAAAGAAGTCTATTGTGACTCTTGCAACATGTGGTCGGGCATTATCTTGTTGGAAAGTTGGATCTGCCAGGGTGTCAAGATAGGGTAAAAGATGGGGTTCTAGAACTTCGTGGATATAACGCTGCGCGTTCATGTTACCTCTGATGAAGATTAAAGGTCACCTGGAACCATAAGCTATAGCACCCCAAACCATAACTCCAACAGTGTGATGAACATGTATTTCAACAAAAAACTGTGGATTCCTCCTTTCACCACGTCGCCTTCTAACCCTGGCACGACCATCGTGCATGCCTAAACAAAATCCAGACTCGTCACTAAAGACAATACTGTTCCATTCCTGATCCCAGAGTGACCGTTGTCTGCACTACTCAAGGCGATTACGTCGGTGTTCTCGAGTTAAAGGGAGGACCCAGTGTGGCCGGTATGAAAACAAGCCAAAACTTCTTATTAGTCGGTAAACACTTCGCATGACAATAGGTCTTCCGTGTTCTGCAAACCATTCATTTGCAATGGACCTGGTAGTGGAGAAACGGTCCCTTAAGGCCAATAATCTTAGGCGGCGATCTTCACGGTCTGTTGTTCTACGGCGGCGTCCAGTGCCCCTTGCTCTTTGCGTACGGCCTTCTCGAAGCCATGCCTGACAACACCTAACCACAGTGTCTACACTTCTTTGCACTCTAACTACAATTGCCCGAAAAGAAAGTCCAGCTTCCCGAAGTCCCACTATAGGGCCCCTATCAAACTCACTAAGTTGACGATATCGTACAGGTCTCCGTACTCTAGGCATCGTAACCGATCGTAAAGGATGTCAAGAACCAACATCCGCCAACGTTGATTCTTTACTGCGGCTGAAATATTCATTTTTAGAGCGTTAGTGAATTAAAAAAAAAGCAGTATAAAAACCGGAATGTCCAACTGATAAGGCTGAAAATTTTTTCACTTGATATTTACAGTAAGATAAATACATTCACCAACTTTTATTAAAATAAAACCATTTAAACTGGGTGTTCGGATTTATATGTCACTTAGTATACAACAATTGTGAGGATGGAAGACCCCACGACGTTTATAACCACGTATCACATTATTTATTTGTGTAGAAAACCATACATTGACCACACGTTTTGGACACCCTGTATAAATAGTCGATTTTTACCTTATCCGTACTTTTGAAGTTTCAACACATTTTTTATTCGAAACGAGTGAGAAGCCCACAAATCCGAAGGATCTCGCCACAGTGAATTAAAATCCAAAGTCACCACCTGAAACGTGGAACTAAGTAAAAGGAAACAAGATTTCGTAATACTCGTTGATCTCCAAGAAACGCAGTAGTCAGTTGTATGCAAGCAGCTCCAGTTTCATGTTTCATGAAATTGGTTTTCTGAAAAGGGTTTCTCCGGTGTCCTTCCTCTAGTTTCTCCATCATACATGATACATACGCAGATTTATTTCCAAGTATCTATTTTGAGTCACACCCTTTATTTATACTGCATCTTCAATGGATATCTAGATGTTCCTATTCACAAAACTACTACTTATTTCTTAACATCCTCGCAATTTCCAAATCCACAGTAAGCGTAAATGCCCTTCAAGCAAAGATAAACTATAAAGGAATTTCTATCATGAAGGCATTCAGAAAATGTGAAACAGCTTCTACTAACCTCAAGAAACAATTTCCTGTTTACCTTCTGGCGTTCCACCAATTTATCGGTAAACATGGCCCTTAAAATATCGTAGCAAGCATTCCTTTTGTGCTGTTTTAACAGGTAGAAGGCATTTGTTATCTAACCTTTCTTTTTGGATAGTTTACATTTCTGGCAAAACCAACATAATTTTGGAAGGTACAGAGTGATCTTTCTACGTCTGAAAACTCATTTATAATCGTTCTGAAAGTGGAGAAGAAGTTTAAATAAAATACTGTAGTTATAAAATGAAGGATGATTTTGTCATAATGAAACAGTGAGGGCGGAACCTAAATTGATTGACCCAACCCTTAATCAGAAAAGTTGTTTAGCATTGGATTTCGAAGTAATACGAAAATTTGTTATACATAACAATTCCACAGATGACCCTTCGATTTTCATTCTTTTTGTAAATAATACCATCTTATATCACTGCAAGCAACATAACAATTTACGCTGTTGATTCAAACATAGCTGTTGATGCTGAAACCCCTGAAGGAAAATGGTAATGGCTCGTTTACACAGTACGAGCTAGCGTACGAGTCAGCCTGCCGAGTAGCTGCAGTGCACTAATTCGCATAAATACGGACGTACCTACGAGTACTCATACGTGCGAGTTGGACAGTAGCTCGCATCCGACTATTTTCATTTCAGCCTAATGGCTCGTTTACACAGTGCGAGCTAGCGTACGAGTCAGCCTGCCGAGTAGCTGCAGTGCAGTAATTCGCATAAATACGGACGTACCTACGAGTAACTCGTCCGTGCGAGTTGGACAGTAGCTCGCATCCGAGTTACTTCAACAATTTTTGTTTTCACTCGCCTACTGGCCCGACAGCAACGCGCATATGGCAACAGCTCGGACGTCATTCGCATCGTTCGGACATGTTCGGCAGTAGCTCGCCAGTGTCAGCCCGCAATTACGAAGCAGAAGCTGTATTTTATGTGTGCTGCGCCACAAGCGTTTACCCAATTCGAAATGGGCTCCGAAAGGTGGTCTTCTGAGAATAATATTACATTCATGAATCTCTACAGAGAACAAGAAAACCTATGGAATTGTTTTGATAAAAATTATAAAAAGAGAGATATGAGAAAAGCATCTTTGGAATACATTGCAAACGAAATGAGTCTAGTTAACACCAGTGAGGTAACTAAAAAAATAAAAAATTTACGATCTACCTATAACCAAGAACGCGCGAAAATTGAATAAAGTAAAAAGAGTGGATCTGGGTCGGAAGATGTTTACAAGTCATCCTTAAAATGGTTCGATATAATGGATTATGTACTAAGTGACATATAAATCCGAACACCCAGTTTAAATGGTTTTATTTTAATAAAAGTTGGTGAATGTATTTATCTTACTGTAAATAACAAGTGAAACAATTTTCAGCCTTATCAGTTGGGCATTCCGATTTTTATACTGCTTTTTTTTAATTCACTAACGCTCTAAAAATGAATATTTCAGCCGCAGTAAAGAATCAACGTTGGCGGATTTTGGTTCTTGACATCCTTTACGATCGGTTATGATGCCTAGAGTACGGAGACCTGTACGATTTCGTCAACTTAGTGAGTTTGATAGGGGCCGTATAGTGGGACTTCGGGAAGCTGGACTTTCTTTTCGGGCTATTGAAGTTAGAGTGCAAAGAAGTGTAGACACTGTGGTTAGGTGTTGTCAGGCATGGCTTCGAGAAGGCCGTACGCAAAGAGCAAGGGGCACTGGACGCCGCCGTAGAACAACAGACCGTGAAGATCGCCGCCTAAGATTATTGGCCTTAAGGGACCGTTTTCCCACTACCAGGTCCATTGCAAATGAGTGGTTTGCAGAACACGGAAGACCTATTGGCATGCGAAGTGTTTACCGACGAATGAGAAGTTTTGGCTTGTTTTCATACCGGCCACACTGGGTCCTCCCTTTAACTCGAGAACACCGACGTAATCGCCTTGAGTGGTGCAGACAACGGTCACTCTGGGATCAGGAATGGAACAGTATTGTCTTTAGTGACGAGTCTCGATTTTATTTAGGCATGCACGATGGTCGTGCCAGGGTTAGAAGGCGACGTGGTGAAAGGAGGAATCCACAGTTTTTTGTTGAAAGGCATGCTCATCACACTGTTGGAGTTATGGTTTGGGGTGCTATAGCTGATGGTTCCAGGTCACCTTTAATCTTCATCAGAGGTAACACGAACGCGCAGCGTTATATCCACGAAGTTCTAGAACCCCATCTTTTACCCTATCTTGACACCCTGGCAGATCCAACTATCCAACAAGATAATGCCCGACCACATGTTGCAAGAGTCACAATAGACTTCTTTCAACATAATGATGTCACATTGTTACCATGGCCACCAAGATCTCCCGACTTATCCCCAATTGAGCACGTGTGGGATATGATGGGTAGGAGATTGCTCAATTTGCAACGTCCTCCTCAGACTCTACAAGCACTTCGAGAGGAGTTGGTGGTTGCCTGAAATGAGATACCACAGGAGGACATTGACCACCTGATCAGAAGCATGCCTAGGCGCGTTGGAGAATGCGTAGCACATCAGGGTGCATCCACAGATTATTAAAGGTCAAAGGGCTTTAAAGCAATGCAATCATTTTGAAATTTTTATCATTTACTTATTATACTTCATTAAGTACTTATACAAAATTTTATTAAAATAAAACCATTTAAACTGGGTGTTCGGATTTATATGTCACTTTGTATATAATGAAAACAGTTAATTTGAAAGAAAAGAAAACAACAAGCAATCTGGTGAGTACCTGATATTTTATTCCACTGAGATAGTTCATCACATTTAATTATTATTAATCATATAATTTTGCCAGGTGACAGCACCCTCATTACAAAAAAAATTGTATTTTTCTCTCAATTTTTCAGCTGCGAAGTTTGATCTGTTATTGATCCGCGAACGGGCTATACTTGGTAACGCATTTATTTCTGATCTCCACGTTCCTAGGTTCGTAGTGAAATTTACAATATCTTCATAATCTATGCTACCAGGTGGTGTGTAGGTGTGAAGTGAAGATTTACGCAACCAGTTGTGCAGTACACATGTAGTTCGAATCATTTTTATTGCGCTTTCCTCTTGCAACTGGATAGGTTTTGCCAAAACATCGAGATACTAAAATACCAAATGCATTTTCTACTATGCGTCTTGTCCTAGTGAATCTGTAATTGTAAATTTTTTCGGCAATCGTGGGCTCATTGGGATATCGTTTCAATAAGTACGTCTTAAGAGGGAAAGCATCATCTCCCACTAGGAATCCACCTTCTGGTAGTAATGACCCATTTTCCAACACTGGATACAATGAGGAAGCTTGGAAAACACCACCGTCGGAATTTCGCCCATATGAGCCTATGTCCACATATTTAAAACAGTATAATTATAGTATTCACTACCACAATTGGGAGGAGCTTGAATTACCACATGTTTGCCGTCGAAGGCTCCACAACATCCTGGAAAATTCCACCTGTGGTGAAATCCTACTTGTATGTCTTCCCATTCCCTTTTGTCTGGTACCTGAAAAAATATTAATTTAGTATGTTCATTTCAGCCTAAAGGTACACCGTCGGGGTCCAAAATTTTGGAAGATGATGTTAGTCGGGACATTGATGATAAAACTGATAATAGATCAATCGACTCCAGCGACACCTCGTTGATCAAACATAAAAATCCAGTTCAAGTTGAAAATAAAATAAAGCATAACATTACCCAAGAAACGAGTGGAATTGCAGCAGCTATTAATGAGCTTAAACAACTGAATAGTACTATACAAACTTCCAGTTGTTCTCAGCAATGTGATGAGTACGATGTTATTGGAAAACATGTCGCTATTCAACTGAGAGGGCTCCCATTACTCGATTTTATAGACGCCAAAGATGAAATCCAACAAGTACTTTCCCGATACCGAAAAAAAGATATATATGCCCGAAACACATCTGCTTTTTCCTCATATAATACATCGTCGCCAACATCCTACATATCGCTGACATCACCAGGATCCAGTGTACCAAGTGATTCATTCCCAGGACCTGTCCCAATATCTGATCGGCCCGCAGAAACAGTTTCTCGGCAGCCAGTTCAAACAGTTGTTGGACAACCATCAAATGCATCATACGAGGGTATCCACTTTGGTGATCCACTAGTCAGAGCAATGATAGATGCTGATATGAACAATATGCAATAACTTTTATCCTCTGTGTTACTTTTGTTTAATTTTGTATGACTTGGTTTGTCTTTAATAAATGAATGAATGTATGTATGATCCACACATGTGTCATTGAATAAGTTAACTGAACCTTTGGAGTATCAACTCATGAAGCATTTACCACATTTCTACTTACCTGCAAATATTCGTCCAAAGCTTCATACATAACGTCACAAACTTCTGGTATAAATTTTAATATGGAGGATTTTGAAATCCTGAAAAATATTGCTAACAGCCTGTATGATATTCCTGAGCTTAGAAAACACAGGGTTACTTCTAACTTTACCCCTGCTGGTATGGCATCTCTCATAAAAGTGTCTTGACGCTCTATTTGCATTTTTATTAAATTTAAAAGTTTGTCAACTTGTTCGGGTGTCACTCTCAGCACTGCTTTATATTCTCGGGGGTCTTCATGATAAAGCTCCTTGAAAATCGCACAAACCTTTTTCTTCCTCTCCTTTTTTTGAAGTTTTTTGTAGGATTTTTCCAATTCTTCACATAATATTATTGTCATATACCTTATCACCGTTTTTTTAATCACAGCAAGTTGACTCAACATCGCGACAACTCGGAAGATACTGGGCAGCTACTATCATCGTGGAAACAAGGCGAGTCGAGCTACTGGCATACGAGTAGATCATCCGAGTAGCTGTCTAGTACCTAGTCAGCAGCTCGCACTGTGTAAACGAGCCATAACGATACACCGTCGGGGTCCAAAATTTTGGAAGATGATGTTAGTCGGGACATTGTTGATAAAACTGATAATAAATCAATCGACTCCAGCGACTGCTCGTTGATCAAAAATAAAAATCCAGTTCAAGTTAAAAATAAAATAAAGCATAACATTACCCAAGAAACGAGTGGAATTGCAGCAGCTATTAATGAGCTTAAACAACTGAATAGTACTATACAAACTTCCAGTTGTTCTCAGCAATGTGATGAGTACGATGTTATTGGAAAACGTGTCGCTATTCAACTGACACAGCTCCCATTACTCGATTTTATAGACGCCGAAGATGAAATCCAACAAGTACTTTCCCAATACCGAAAAAAAGCTATATATGCCCGAAACACATCTGCGTTTTCCTCATATAATACATCGTCGCCAACGTCCTACATATCGCTGACATCACCAGGATCCAGTGTACCAAGTGATTCATTCCCAGGACCTGTCCCAATATCTGATCGGCAGCCAGTTCAAACAGTTGTTGGACAACTATCAAATGCATCATACGAGGCTATCCACTTTAGTGATCGACTAGTCAGAGCAATGATAGATGCTGATATGAACAATATGCAATAACTTTTATCGTCTGTGTTACTTTTGTGTTAATTTTGTATGACTTGGTTTGTCTTTAATAAATGAATGAAAGTATGTATGATCCACACATGTGTGATTGAATAAGTTAACTGAACCTTTGAAGTATCAACTCATGAAGCATTTACCACATTTCTAATTACCTGCAAATATTCGTCCAAAGCTTCATACATAACGTCACAAACTTCTGGTATAAATTTTGATATGGAGAATTTTGAAATCCTAAAAAATATTGCTAACAGCCTGTATGATATTCCTGAGCTTAGAAAACACAGGGTTACTTCTAACTTTACCCTTGCTCGTATGGCATCTCTCATGAAAGTGTCTTGACGCTCTATTTTCATTTTTATTAAATTTAAAAGTTTGTCTACTTGTTCGGGTGTCACTCTCAGCACTGCTTTATATTCTCGGGGGTCTTCATGATAAAGCTCCTTGAAAATCGCACATGTTGCCCCTATAGATCATCTTGCCATCCAATCTCTAATCCAAACCTTTTTCTTCCTCTCCTTTTTTTGTAGGATTTTTCCAATTCTTCACATAATATTATTGTCATAGACCTTATCACCATTTTTTTAATCACAGCAAGTTGACTCGACATCGCGACAACTTGGAAGATACTGGGCAGCTACTGGCATACGAGTAGACCATCCGAGTAGCTGTCTACTGTCTAGTCAGCAGCTCGCACTGTGTAAACGAGCCATTACCATCAGTGATTCAACAAAATTTCTTGGTGTAGATGTTGACAGCGATATGAGCTGGTCTACTAACATCGATGTCATTTCTAAAAAATTAAGCTGAAACTATGCTATATTACACCTAAAAGGGTGCCTGGATATTAGTAAATTATTGAGCGTCTATTTTGCATTGGTATATTCAAAAATATCATACCACGTAATACTGTAGGACAACTCATCGTTGGCCATGCGAGTAATTATTATGCAAAAATAATTATTCGCTTAATGTTTGGTTAAGAACTATGCAATGATATCGGCGCAATCATGTGCCATGGGTTCATTGAACACATATAAAAAAGAAGTAGCAACTTATTAAGATCTATCAATCATAATACAACTTTGTATGAAAGTTGTCCATTTTACATGAGCCAAAAACTTTACAGCTCTTTACCAACATCTATAAAATGTTACTTCGTTCAAGAATTCAGGAGATTTTTGTTACATAGCTGTTTTATTCTGTTCAAGAATTTTTAAATCTTTAAATTGTGTCCTATTTGTCTCTGTAATGTTTAGCTGTTCATGTGTGTCCAAGAAATGTTTTATTTAATCAAGATGAATGCCATTGTTTTCACCTATTTATTCTATTATGATAACAGGTCTAATATTTACAAAGATCTGAACGATGAATAAATTTATTATTACATATTATTAAATGCTGAGGCGGGGATACTGCCACAAGATAATTAAAAAGATATTGTTGATTATTTGATTGTTAAACTGGGGTAAACTGTGCTGTAGAAGCATAAGGCTTTGTAGACATCGTCGGTCTCCGCACGTAGAGGCGTAAATGATAAATCATCTAAAATCGAGTTACGCCGAAATTTCACAGATTTTTTTGTAGTCTCTTACTTGACGAAGTGACGTAGCTGTATATCAGTTCGCTGCTAAGAATTAAAATTTTCAGAAAATTGCCTAAGTTATAAAATTTTCACGTACCGGCTTAAATAGATTTACGCCTCTATGCTAAAACTGGTTCTACATCACTTTAGTCTATCAAAAAGAAACAGCAACGTTCAGACTGAAAAATCAGTATGTCACTTTCTCATTTATTGCTGATTTTCGTTTTCTAGCTCTCCTGTAAAATTTGTAAAATGTTAGTTACGCCGGTACGTGCGGAGACCGACGACATGTTACTTCTCGAACTCTTCTTTTGCTTCTTTGTTAACTCGGAATGTGAGGGGCATGGAAGAATTCATCGATCAGGGATCCTTCATTTCACTCTATACCATGGGCGAGATACATCTTGCATTAAAGAGTTTTTAGATGTAACTGTGTTTCGGCCCTTACTCCGCTTTTTGGACAGAACTGATGGAAATCGTCTTCGTACTGCTGGTGTGTGGAGCGAATTAATAATAAAAATTTACACTTGTGTACTTGTCACATAAATGATTTCTTGGAAGTACCAAATGCAGCATGAAAATTTCATAAATTGCTTCTATGACCATGGACACTGGTTGTTTTGCAAAAAAATTACATATTATCATTTTTACGTGTTTGTAAATTGTTTGAATGGTAAACACAAACAATGATTTCTATGAAATTATTGTTGGTATTAGGCGAGGAAGTCGGGTAGTGAAGCAAGAACTGTATGTGTGCGATTTGCTTCAATCATGCACGTATTTCCTCATTTCGATCGTTTTCTATCAATATACCGTAATTCTGTTCATTGAAGCTATACCTATGTATATCTTTATGAGATTCCGCACTTTCTTTAAACAGTTGATCTGATTTGATAGCTTTTTGTGTCATAATTGGCTAGGACGTCATTAATTTACATTTCCTGTTTATAGAGGGTGTATCGAGCAAAAACTTTAATGGTAATTCTGTTCAAGAATATTTTGCACTTCAAGCAGAATTTTCAAGACGCTTTTAAAAATTTGCCAAAGAACTAAATAGTTTTGGATCTCAGTTCGTAAGATCATTTATTTACCCATATACGAGTACATATAGAAATGAATCAAAAACAATATTTTTGGGAAGCCTAACGCTTTAGTAAAAAACATCTTGTTAACTTCCATAAAATGAACTCCTTTTGAGGAAATCAATCTTGGTTCAACAGTTCAATACTGCTCCTATCGATTTACTCTGCAACCGATCCTCAAAAATTCTATAGGTATCCAGGGATTTTTCTGTTTGTTGATTATGAATAAGTAATTACTACATTTACAGAATAATGGAACTAGTGTATTGGATCCAGTAATCAATTTGATGCTACATACATTTTTTGTTTTGAGTTATTCTTATAAATTAGAAATATCGTGCTGTAGCTAGTCCATCCGTGACTAACAAGTTAATTGTCTTCTATGGGCACCATCATGTGGAACCCTAACTTGTTACTATGCTATAAAAAGTATACATATACCTATGGTATCAATCAAAGTTATTTAAGAAAAAACTGTTTCCAGTAACATCCTTTAGGAAGCTGTATTTCCGTAGGAAAAACCTAGGATATTTTTACAGGAGCATCTGGGATTATTTTTGTGTTCTATACAGAGATTGCCACCTTATTCTAGGACACCCACTGAACATCAAAAAAAGCGTGTAAGGTTTAGAATCAGTCCGAATTTATAATACGAAATATAACCTTAGTTGACTATCACTACTGTTATAAACCGTTAAAATGCGTGAAGTAATAAAATTATCAGGACTTTCGTGAATTAGAAAACTCCCACGGGTAACCCATGCGTACCTCTTTCATCCTTTTCCTTTAATAAACAAAACGCATGCGAGATGTAAACAACTTCAAAGCAATAAAACCATAGAGCTATTGAAGAGATCGATAACACTACTTTGAAAAAAAGTCCAAGACTCTGCTTGAAATAACTTCGGCAACACTGCCTCCAGCCAATGAACCGGAAACCGTATGCCGGCTACTAACCGTATAGAACAATAATTAAAGGGTTAAAAATTACCCCTGACGACTACAAAATGAACGTTATTCAACACACAAAATCTCTATGGTAACAATTTTTAGTGGTCCGCACTAATGAAAATATCGATCCCGCTACCTGGGAGCCCGTACTGTTCATTAAAATTTATTCCCCCCATAGTAATGTGCACAATTTCCAAATGAAGGGGAGTAAATAGATCATTCTGCTTCTCCGACACGTGAAATACGGTGCTGCGTGAAAAGGAAGGAAATGATAGTGCAGGGAAATTCGGATAGAATGTAAGTTATTTTGGGAGAGATTCTTGGAACTCCTCTGATTTACTTGGATTGCCTTTGACCTCGTTGTATTTCGACCTGATAAAAACGTAAGATCGAATAAAATATTAGTTGAATTAGAACCTAAAATTATAATGACGGCAGTTCTCCTGCGCATATGCAAATATAGATTGCCACGGATCTCCTTGTATTAAATCCAGTGGGAATCTCCTCACACTGGGACAAAAAATCTCTCTCATGACTCGTACCACCCCTTCGTTCAAGTGCTGTACGTCAAAATTATATATGTTCTGTTACTAGGTATATTTTTGCAATGATTTAATAGGAAAGTAATCTCCTGACTCCATTGTGTCAATACAAGAATCGATTTTGACTCCAACGTCCAATAACCTCATAATAAATCACACAACTTAGCATATGTCTATCTAGATGGGGCAGATTTATCTCTGATGTTGCACTGAGGAAAGAATATGATTAGCATGTTCCTCTATGGTGAAATAACTAGTAAACTAGTGAGCATCACTACAACCACAGGTGGGACTTGGCTGGCTTTACACTTTGCCTGCATTTGGAACGATTCATCACTGCTGGGTCTAAGAACAATCTTGCTAGGTGTGACTTAATGTAATACGACGGCGACTCACAGGTCTTTCACCAACTGGTGCTTTCTCCCAGTTTAACTTTACGATTTGAGGCCAGTCCCACCTCAGTCTTTGTGTTTTGATTTCTTGGACAATACCTCTTTCTCCATACAACTTCTTGATGCGATGTTCTTATACCGCATTTGTTCAATCGCAGAGAGGTGCCCAAAAACCGTTCGCTGTATTCTATTTTAAATAATTAGAAGCACCCAAATGCTCCTGCTGTTTTGATGGATGGCTTGGTGAAGTTCAGACCATTGAGGACATGATTTGGCACGAATACGTCTGGACAACCACAACATTTTGTGGGAAAAAGCTGCCTTATCTATTTAGTGTTAGGAAGTAATTGTCGCAATCTAACTCTCCAAATTTGTACTCGGCCCGGACAAGACCCAGCCTGGAATATTGTTCACATGTCTCGATTGGTCAAGGTGTTTTCAGGTCGAAGCCATTGAGAATAAAAAAATGAGAAATAAGAGTATTTTGGAAGAAAAAATGGGTAAAAGTGAGTAGTTTAAAAGAAAAAATATAGCAAAAAAGAATGTTATTGCTTTTCTCTACTTGCTGCCGTGAAATTGAATTCTTAACACCCCTCTACAAGATCCTATTTTAATTGACTGCTTTTCAATATCAGTTTCTCGCTCATTAGTCAAGGTAAATTCGGCAGCTGCATTGGAGAAAATTCCATTATATTTTTTTCATAATTTTGAGAAACTTTTTAAACAGATCCTGTGGTTTTCATGTTCATAGGACTCCATTGTCTGCCCGAATAAAACCAGATACGTGTTTAAATTTCTGTTTAT